GAATCAACCAAACTCAGTTTGAAAATAATTTTTTAAAAATCCACCTGTAGGGGTCGGCGCTGTGGTGTAGCAGGTAAAGTTGCCACCTGCAGTGCTGGCATCCCCTTTGGGCACAGGTTCAAGTCCTGGCTGCTCCACTTCTGATCCAGCTCTCTGCTATGGCCTGGGAAAGCAGTGGAAGATAGCCCTAGTCCTTGGGCCCCTGCACCCACATGGGAGACCTAGAAGAAGCTCCACACTCCTGACTTCAGATCAGCCCAACTCAGTCCATCCCTTGTGGCCATCTGGGGAGTGAAGCAGCAGATGAAGATATTCCTCCTTCTCTCTCTCTCTCTCTGCCTCTGTGACTCTGCCTTTCAGATAAATAAATAAATCTTTAAAAAACTGCACTTGTACTGAACATGTATAGACTTTTTTCTCATCATTATTCCTTAACAGTATAGTGTAACAGTATTTATGTACCATTTACACTGTAGTAAGTGGTATAAGTAATCTTTAGATGTTTTCAAATATACTGGAATATATGCAAAGGTTATATGCAGATACTGTGCCATTTTATAAAAGAGACTTGAGTTTCCACAGATGTTGGTATACAGTGGGATCCTGGAGCCATCCCTCTTGGCAGATATTAAGGGACAGTTTTATAGCAAATACAGAACTTTGTGCTGGGAAATAGTATTTATTTGATCATTCATATATTCATATTTCTAAGATGGTTCCCAGGAGTTACACCCATTGATTTATTGGACATTTTGAATACTTCATTGTTTTTTTTTTTTTTTGACAGGCAGAGTGGACAGTGAGAGAGAGAAAGACAGAGAGAAAGGTCTTCCTTTTGCCGTTGGTTCACCCTCCAATGGCCGCCGCAGCCGGCGCACTGCGGCCGGCGCACCGCGCTGATCCGAAGCCAGGGAGCCAGGGTGCTTCTTCCTGGTCTCCCATGGGGTGCAGGGCCCAAGACCTTGGGCCATCCTCCACTGCACTCCCGGGCCACAGCAAGAAGCTGGCCGGGAAGAGGGGAAACCAGGAAAAAATCCCGGGCCCCCGACCGGAACTAAAAACCCGGGGGGCCGGCCCCGCAGGGGGGAAGAATTAGCCTAGGGGGGCGGGGGCGCCCGGCTTGAATATTTTTTTTTTTGAACTTCTTTTTAATATCAGTTGTCCCGGCAAAAAGGAAGGGATTCCCCCTGAAACCAGGCAAATTAGTGAAAAAGATGTAGAAACTATAACTAGAGTTAATTCAGGCCACTCTGAGGAAGCAAGAGACTAAGCAGGTTACTCCTGAGGGGAGGGGCATCAGCTGTGACTTTGAAGAGAAAGTGAGCTAAATCTTAAAAGCAAAAAAGTCTTTAATCAGAGGCAAGAATAAAGGATGGACAGTGCTAGTAGCAGAAGTAGGATATGTCATGGAGCTGAAATATGAATCATCATGGTACTCTTAGAAAACTAGATAAGGTCTAAGCCAGACATGAACCAGAAGCCTTTGAACATAATATTATCTTTGCACATATTGATAAACCATTTCTACTTCATCTCCCCCAACCACTCACCCTCTCATGTATGCACATGCTCACATGTGCACATGCATGTGCACACACACATACACATACTTACTCAGCTCTTAATTCCTCTTTCATATTGAAATCAAAAATCCTTTTGTCAAGATGGTTTTCCCAAGGCCTCCAGTGTACCTCAGGTCCTGTAATGGTGTACTCTCATAAAACCATGTTCCTTCCCTTTAGTGTGGTTTTAAAAAACTGTGTGTGTGTGTGTTTTCATTAATTTGATTTCTCTTATTAGTAAGTATCTTCCTCCCTATGTCAGTGACTTTAGTTTATTGACATCCATGGAAGAAATACATTAAGTACATTATACCTCACAAATCAATGGTATACACATATCTATATAACATATACAATACATACAAGCATATATATATATATATATATTTGATAGGCAGAGTGGACAGTGAGAGAGAGAGAGAAAGGTCTTCCTTTGCCGTTGGTTCACCCTCCAATGGCCGCCGCAGCCGGCACGCTACAGCTGGCGCACCACACTGATCCAAAAGCAGGAGCCAGGTGCTTCTCCTGGTCTCCCATGGAGTGCAGGGCCCAAGGACTTGGGCCATCCTCCACTGCACTCCCGGGGCCACAGCAGAGAGCTGGCCTGGAAGAGGGGCAACCGGGACAGAATCCGACGCCCCGACCGGGACTAGAACCCGGTGTGCCGGCGCCACAGGCAGAGGATTAGCCTATTGAGCTGCGGCGCCGGCATAAGCATATATTTTTAAAAACTGAGTTTCCTGAAACAATGGTCATCCTTACCATACATGTGAAATATACTTTCTATCCTTTTTCATTAGAAAATTCCTTATAAAATGTTTTTATATCCCCTTCCCATTTATGATTCAGAGTTTGTAAGCCTTACAACAGATGAACACTGCATTAGAATAGAACAATGTCCAGTTTTACTCTGTTTGGTTCTCAGCTTCTAGTGTTATACTTAGGGTTTATAAGACACTAAATAGAAGTTTACTGAATGAATAAAATGAATGAAAAGTTCTAACAGGTATTATTTTTAAGTATTATTATGATCCTTATTCTTATCAGAAAAAAAAAAAAAAACCTGAAAATTAGAGAGGTTTAGTAATTCTGCTGAAAGCCCTGAGACTGATAATAGGCAGAACAAGGATTCAGATTCAGCTGCTTTACTTTAAAACCACGCACATTTCCCCTGTGCAGGAAACAAAAAGAGAAAATACTTTGGTTTCTTTAAGAGGTTCAAAGTGCTTATTATTTGTATAGATGATGAATCAGTAAAAATCAGTTTCTTCATATTTGAGATGCAGTTAATACAGAATCTGAAAAATCACTGATACATTAATTTTCTATCATAGGAAAAATTTTAAAAATTGGAAAAATAAGTGGAAGGAGTAGATGAAACAAGATCAGAAAAATGTTAATAGCTGTGTCTGTTTTAAATCTTTCATTAAAAAAGAAATAACCTATGAAAGTGGCATAAAAACACATTGAAGGAAAACTCTTTAATCTTTATATATGAATACTAAAATAATAGGATTTAAAAACACAAAAGTTCAGAAGATTATTTAATGAGATAATATTTATAAAGTACAAGATAGAATATCCAGTGATAGAAGAGACTCAATATTAATTTTGTCCTTTCCACATCAGGTTAACCAAAACTATCTGTGCAAAAAAACTGATTCATTAAAACAGTGCTCGAGTTTGGGGGTTTTTTAGATTTATTTGTTTGAAAGGCAGACATACAAAGGGGGAGAGAGAGAGAGAGAGAGAGAGTGAGTCTTCCGTCCACTGGTTCACACCCTAAATGGCCTCAACAGCCAGGGCTGGGCCAGACCAAAGCCAAGAGCCAGGAGATTCTTTTGGGTCTCCCATATGAGTGGCAGGGGTCAAGGACTGAGCCATCTTCTGCTTCTTTCCCAAGCACCATTAGCTGGGAGCTCGATCAGAAATAGAGCAGCTGGGACTCAAACTGGTGCCCTTATGGGATGCCAGCACTGCAGGTGACAGCTTAACCTTCCACGCTACAGTTCCAGCCCCTACAACAGTTTTTTACAGAAACCTTTTGAAAAAAAAATTGCTTTGTAGTTGTATAAAGAGACAATTTCATGTATCCTTTTTAAAAGGGAAACTGGTTTTGTTATTTATCAATGTGATGGTAGACATAATTAGAATATTCATGTATAGTATTATTTTTTCAGTATATTCCTGCCTAAAACCTTGCTGCTTGTAGATATCATACAGTAATTGGTTATGACCATGAAACTCATTTGATAGGCAGTGCCTTGTCCACAATGTTGGTCTGGAAGCTATGTTCAATCTCCAGAATGGCCATTACTATACTGCTTAAAGAGGGGAAAAAACATAAATTATAAGAAGTTTTATCCCTCTAAATTCTAAAACTTTTTTTCTATCAATTTTAAGATAAATAGACGGGGCTGGCACTGTGGCCTAGCAGGTAGAGCTTCCCCTTGCAGTGCCAGCATCCCATATGGGTGCCTGTTGGAGACCCAGCTGCTCCACTTCCAGTCCAGCTCTCTGCTGTGGCCTGGGAGAGCAGTAGAGGATGGCCCAGTTGCTTGGGCCCCTGCACCTGCGTGGGAGACCTGGAGGAGGCTCCTTCTGATCGGCTCAGCTCCGGCCATTGCAGTCATTTGAGGAGTGAACTGGTGGATGGAGGATACCGGATACCTCTCTTGATTTCTCTCTCTCTCTCTCTCTCTCCCTCTCTCTGCCCCTGCCTCTCTGTGGCTCTGCCTTTCAAAATAAATTTTTAAAAATATAAATAGCCAGTTGCAAATGTGATATAGTTATACCTATGTATTTTTTTCAGAAATAGAATTTTGACCTGTTATTTTAAAAAACACTGTACTGGGAACTAAGAGACCAGGGGCTACATCTTAGCTCTGTTTGAGGTTCTTAACCTTTTCTGCCTGCATTCCTTCATTCTGTAACTCATTTCCTTCAACTGTCAAATGAAGAAAGGAATATACGTTCTTCCTACCTCACTGGATTATTACAAAGACCAGACTGGGAGATAAATAAGGAAATAATATGAAATTAATTAAATTTTTGTGTAAAAATGGAAAGCCTCAGATTTAGTGATATAAACCTAGATATATTATTCTACACACAAGTCACACATACATACATGAATAAGGTAATATTTACTTAGGAGGACAGATTTAAACAACTTCCTATTAGAAAAGCCCAAGCTTAGGAATTGTGGGGTGACAGGAAGGCCATGTTCTTGAAAGGGTGCTTTTACTGGTACTTGGGAGTTATGAATACCAAGAATCAAACCAGTTGTAACAAAACACAAAGCCATCGTGTAGTCTAAGAGATCAGAAAAATATCCCACTTTTATTTGATTCAAATTTTAGAGTTCCAATACTAGATTCTTGTTCCTTGCTGTAGGTCCATACTGATGTTTGTTCTTGGCTCTGTTCCATCTCACAGCTGCTGATGGCCCAGGAGACCGTTTCATCATTGGGGAATCCCAAGCTGGTGAACAGGTGAGATTCACAGGCTTGAAAAACACTAAAGATTTCTTTTTCCTGGACTCTGGTCATCTAATTCTAAACTTCTCCTATCAGTGTAGTAGAAATCTTATAGAAGGATTAGTCAAAAGTTATCAAAGAAATGAAAGAATGGTTCCCATGAGGACCAAAAGAATCATTTCTTCAAGAATCCACAACTATTAAAATATGGTATAAAGTTGTTGGTATAGCTCAAAGATATGCCCTACAAGCACTTCCCAGCTCTGTGTTTGGGTGATTCTCTCTTCCCATAAAAAGTAAATGGAGGCCGGCGCCGTGGCTCACTAGGCTAATCCTCTGCCTTGCGGCGCTGGCACACCGGGTTCTAGTCCCGGTCGGGGTGCTGGATTCTGTCCCGGTTGCCCCTCTTCCAGGCCAGCTCTCTGCTGTGGCCCGGGAGTGCAGTGGAGGATCGCCCAAGTGCCCACCCAAGTGGGCTCCTGCACCCACATGGGAGACCAGGATAAGCACCTGGCTCCTGCCTTCGGATCAGCGCCAGCCGCAGTGGCCATTGGGGGTGAACCAACAGTAAAGGAAGACCTTTTTCACTGTCTCTCTCTCTCACTGTCCACTCTGCCTGTCAAAAAAAAAAAAAAAGAAAAAAGAAAAAGTAAATGGATAAACATAATAAAATAAAAGCTGATGTTCTGATAGAACTACATGGATCTCCTCAATGCTTGGATGCTGAAACGAAGGAGCTAGTATTACCACAAGTGGCACCATCCTTCTAGCTATTTCCTTAATCCCTTTCTATGTCAGTGCACATACAAGTATATGATACGTGAAGGAAGAAAAGTTTGAGACATATCTTTTGCCAAGACTACCATCTTTTTGAAAAAAAGAATTTGTTTGTTTTTTGCCACTTTTATGTTTAGATAGTGTTTTTGAGTGCTTGGTAGCAGCAGTTGGGTATCCCACTTCAGGAAGAGGAAACTAAGCCTGGCACTGCAGTGATAAGATCCCTGTTCGTGCTCCACACAGGCTGGCTCTAGTCTCCAGGACCTTTTTCCTTTTTCCTGACAAAAAGAAGAACTAGGCTTCATTCTTTTTTATGAATGACTCACCTCATAATTAATTCAACTTCTTGATCCCCATTTCCATAAGACACAGGCAACTAAAGCATCTGTTTTTGTGACAAAGTCATTTTATAACAAAGTCACAAAATAATAACTGTTCAAGGAGTACTTGTCCGATCTTCTATGAGTCTATCTAGCATTTCTTACCTATACCTACTGTATATGCCAGCTGCTAGATTCTGGAGATATAGATTGAATTAAGGCATAGTTATGCTCTTACATAGTTTACATCAAATGGAAAAATATCTAAGTATAATATATTAGATTTTATGCTAATGGTATCAGTCAAAAGAGAGAAGTTAGGCATTTCAGCATGGTGAAGTTAGGGAAATGACATTGTAGCTGGACCTAAGAGTGTTTTGCAAAAGCACAAATGAGAAATGGACATTCTAGACAGAAAGAACATTGTGAGACCCAGAGATGTTTTTAAAAATTACTTGGAATACTTAGAGAACTACAAATAGTTTGTGGCAGCCACAGCGTGGTATATGTAGGGATAAAGAACAGATTGTTGAGGATCTTATGGACCTCTAAAATCTTACTTAAGAGCACTAACTGTATTAGCTACAAGCACACAAAGAAATGTAAAGTTAAACTGGAAGTTGCTAACTTCTTATAAATCCTTAGAAAAGTTCAATAGTGAAAAGATCAAAATGAGGTTGGCGCCATGGCTCACTAGGCTAATCCTCCGCCTTGCGGCGCCGGCACACCGGGTTCTAGTCCCGGTCAGGGCACCGGATTCTGTCCCGGTTGCGCCTCTTCCAGGCCAGCTCTCTGCTGTGGCCAGGGAGTGCAGTGGAGGATGGCCCAGGTGCTTGGGCCCTGCACCCCATGGGAGACCAGGAGAAGTACCTGGCTCCTGCCTTCGGATCAGCGCGGTGTGCTGGCCGCAGTGCGCCGGCTGCGGCGGCCATTGGAGGGTGAACCAACGGCAAAAGGAAGACCTTTCTCTCTGTCTCTCTCTCTCTCACTGTCCACTCTGCCTGTCAAAAATAAAATAAAATAAATCAAAATGATACAAGGTTTTTTTCCCTTCACACAATCTGTAATGGCCTTTATCTGTGTCTTATGTGTCACATATACTTTATAGCACTTTCAGAATCCTGCAAGAGCCAAACTGCCACTTTCTGAAAGAACACACATTCAAGCATTGGGTACCCATGGAGGAAGTGATTTACTATGTGGTTTCTTGGAATACTAAAATACTTGACATTAAATGTTACTGATAAGCACAGGACATTCTGAGTCAATGTTAGGTAATTAATTATTAAGTGATATCATTGGAAGAACTCAAAACTAACTCAATACTTCCATTAAGGAAAACTTAAAATTGGAACTTTTTTTACTCTATATTTAGCATATAGCATATGTCGGTAAACATTAAAAGGAGAGAATAACTACTAATCTTAACAGTCTAAGGGAAGTACCTCACAAATTGCTACGATATACTGTTTCACTTGATTCAGATCAGTCGCAGTTTATATGTGTACTTTACATAGATATATAAATGTTTCTATATTGGTAAGAATCCTTCACCTACTGTTTAGAATTGCTGATCTTTGGGAAGAGCCATGTTATTTTTAATACCCACACAGATAACACATTTTAAAATGGTCTAAACAAAAAGCAAAACAAAACAAAACAAGAATCCAACTGCAATAAAACTTGAAGTAAATTTACAGAATACCAAGATATATTGAACCTGTGTAAATTAATACAGGATTCTAGGGTAACACAGTTCAGTTTAAGAAGGAGTGCTCCAGGGGCCAGGGTTGTGATGCAGTGGGTTAGGCTGTCACTTGTAACACCAGCATCTCATATTGGAGTGTGAATTCAAGTCTCAAATTCTCAACTTTGGATTCAGCTCCCTGCTAATGCATCTGGGAAGGCAGCAGAAGCTGCCCATATGCTTGGACCCCTGTCACCCACATAGAAGACCCAGATGGGGTTCCTGGTTCCTGGCCCACACCCATACATTATGGCCATTTAGGAAGTGAAGCAGAGGATGGAAGATTCATATTCATACACTCTCTCTCTTTCTCTCTCTCTCTCATTTTCTTTCTCTTTTTTCTTCCTATCTCCATCTCCCTTTGTCACTCTACCTCTCAAATAAATAAAATAAATCTTAAAAAGAAGAGGAAGAAGCAACTGCCTTGAAATTCACTTTGGGATTAACTTTCCACTTTAGTCAAAAGGCATTTTCACCAAAAGAAGAGTCTCTTTAGACTTACATTAAATGCTGCTGTTCAGTATGCTCAAAGGCTAGTTTTGACATTAGTACATCTATAAAAACACATATATTGGGGCCAACACTGTAGCATATCTGGTAAAGCTGCCACCTGAGGCTCCAGCATCCCATCCCATATAGGTGCCATTTGGAGTCCTGGCTGCTCCACTTCCAATCCAATTTAAATATACACACACACACACACATACACACAACTCTGCCTTTCAAATAAATAAATCTTTTTTTAAAAAAACATAAAACTTTAAATGTTTTTCATTAAAAATCACTGTAGTACAAAATGATCATGTTGAGTGGATTAAGAGATGGCCCACATTATAAGTACTATCAGAGATTGAAAATTATATATATTTTTTAAACTTAAGGTGAACCAGTTTCAGGTAATTCATATGTGCAGATTTAGGAACATAGTGATACATTCCACTGTACCCTCCTTCTGGCCCATGCGCCCACCCTTCCTCCTCCTTCCTCTTATTGCCTCTCTTAATTTTTACAATGGTCTACTTTCAGTTTACTTTATACTCATAAGATAAACAGTTCAACAAATAGTAAGACGAAAAAAACCACCATTCCTCAAAAGTCAAGACAAGGGCTATAAACAATCATTGAATCTCAAAATGTGAATTTCACTTCTGTACATTACATTTTAGGTACTCTATTAGTTACTACAGATCAAGGAAAATATGTATTTGTCTTTCGGAGACTGGCTTATTTCAGTAAGTATAATGGTTTCCAGTTGCATCCATTTTGTTGCCAACAACAGGGTTTCATTTTTTTTTTTACCACTGTGTATTCCATAGTGTATATAGACCATAATTTCTTCATCCAGTCCTCAGTTGATGGACATCTGGGTTGATTCCATATCTTAGCTATTGTGAATTGAGCTATAGTAAACACGGGGGTACAGATCACCCTTTCATATGCTGATTTCATTTCAGTTGGGTAAATTCCCAGCACCAGGATGGCTGGGTCGTATGGTAGGTCTATATTCAGATTCCTGAGGTAGCTCCAAACTGCCTTCCACAGTGGCTGTGGCAGTTTACATTCCCACCAAGAGTGGATTAGGGTACTTTTTCCCCACATCCTTGTCAGCATTTACTCTGTCTTCATTTCTGTATGAGAGCTATTCTAACAAGAGAGGTGAAACCTCATTGTGGTTTGATTTGCATTTCCCTGATGGCTAGTGATCCTGAGCAATTTTTCATATGTCCATTGGCCATTTGTATTTCCTCTCTTGAAAAATGCTTGATCAAATCTTTTGCCCATTTCGTAACTGGATTGTTTGGTTTTTTGTTGAATTTCTTGAGCTCTTTATAGATTTAGATATTAATCCTTTATCAGGTGCATAGTTCACAAGTATTTTCTCCCACTCTGTCAGTTGCCTCTTCACTTTGTTGAGCATTTCTTTGCAATGCAGAAGCTTCTCAGCTTGATGTCATCCTGTTTGTCAATTTTGATGTTTATTGACTGTGCCTCTGGAGTCTTTTCCAGAAGTCTTTGCCTATGCCAATGTCTTGCAGAATTTCCCTAATGTTCTCTATTAATTCGATGACATCAGTTCATAGATTTAGTTTCTTGATCCATTCTGAGCAGATTTTTGTGTAAGGTGTAAGGTAGGGGTGTTGTTTCATACTTCTGCATGTGTCGATCCAGTTTTCCCAGCACCATTTGTTGAAGAGACTCTTCTTACACCAGGGATTGATTTTAGCTCCTTTGTCAAAGATAAGTTAGTTGTAGGTGCATAGATAGATTTCTGGAGTTTCTATTCTGTTCCACTGGTGTACACATTTTTTTTTTTTGCTTGTACCAGGCCATTTGGATTATAACTGCCCCATAGTATGTCTTGAAAAACAGGTATTGTGACGCCTCCAGCTTTGTTTATGTTGTTTCAGATTGTTTTAGCTATTCAGGATCTCTTCTGAATGTTAGTATCGTTTTTTCTAGATCTGAGAAGAATATCATTGGTATTTTGATTGGGATTACATTGAATCTGTAAATTGCTTTTTGTAGTGTGAATATTTTTTTTTTTTTGGACAGGCAGAGTGGACAGTGAGAGAGAGAGACAGAGAGAAAGGTCTTCCTTTGCCGCTGGTTCACCCCCGATGGCCGCCGTGGCCGGCGCACCGCGCCAATCCAATGGCAGGAGCCAGGTACTTATCCAGGTCTCCCATGGGGTGCAGGGCCCAAGGACTTGGGCCATCCTCCACTGCACTCCCTGGCCACAGCAGAGAGCTGGCCTGGAAGAGGGGCAACTGGGACAGAATCCGGCACCCCGGCCGGAACCAGAACTCGGTGTGCCGGCGCCGCAAGGCAGGGGATTAGCCTAGTGAGCCGCGGCACCGGCCAGTGTGAACATTTTGATTATATTAATTCTTCCAATCCTTGAACATGGAAGGTATTTCCATTTTTTTAATGTGGCTTCTTCTATTTTTTCTTTAGTGTTTTGTAATTTTCTTCATAGAGATCTTTGATATGCTTGGTTAAATTTATCTCAAGGTATTTAAATTTTTGTACCTATTGTGAATGGGATTGATTTTAGAAGTTCTTTCTTAGCCATGCATTGTCTGTGTATACCAAGGCTATTGATCTTTGTGTGTTGATTTTATATCCTCCCACTTCTGATAGTCTCTTAGTGGAGTATTTTGTTTACCCTATATGTAAAATCATGTCATCTGCAAATAGAGATAGTTTAACTTCCTCCTTTCCAATTTGTGTCACTGTGATTTATTTTTCTTGCCTAATGTTATGGCTAAAACTGCCAGGACTATATTTAATAGCAGTGGTGAGAGTCGGCATCCCTGTCTGGTTACGGATCTTACTTGGAATGTTTCCAGCTTTTCACCATTCAATGAGATGCTATGGGTTTGTTGCCTTGATTATGTAAAGGAATGTTCCTTCTATATCAAATTTGCTTAAGGTTTTCATCATGAAAGGATGCTGTATTTTATTAAATATTTTCTTTGCATCTATTGAAATAACCATGTGGTTTTTATTATTCAGCTTGTTAATGTGATGTATCACGTTGCTTGATTTGCAAATGTTGAACCCTCCCTACCTACCAGGGATAAATCCCACTTGGTCTGGGTGATTGGTTTCTGATATGTTATTGGATTTGATTAGCTAGTATTTTGTTGAGGACTTTTACATCTATGTTCATCAGGGATATTGGTCTATAGTTCTCTTTCTCTGTTGTATCTTTTTCTAGCTTAGGAACTAAGGTGATGCTGGCTACATAGAATGCATTTGGGAGGATTCACTCCCATTCAATTGTTTTGAATAGCCTCCGGTAAATGCAGCTGGGAGGCAGCATATGATGGCCTAAGTATTTGGGTTCCTTTCACCTACCTGAGATACCCAAATGGAGTTCTTGTCTCCTGACTTAATTTTGGCTCAGCTCTGGCTGTTGCAGGCATTTGAGGAATGAACCAGCAGATGGAAGATATTACTCTCTTTCTCTTTCCTTCCCCCTCCTCCTCCCTCATACCCCCCCCTCCATCTGCCTCCCTGTCATGATCACTTTGTCTTCTAAATAAATGAATTTTTTTAAAAAGAGGTAAGATTAATATAGAGAACTTTTCCAAGATATGGACAAAGGTAAAGGAAACTAACAAATGACTGTGAAGTACCCAGCTGCCAACAGTGAGGTTCCATTACCACCTTTCAGTCTGGAAAAAGCAGAGAGAAAATAATACTTGAAACTTACGAGATTCATAGCAAGGGGAGAGGTGAGCCAACAGGAGCTGTGAAGATGCCCTAGTCATCACCAAGGCACAGCTAAGCAGGAAAATAGCATGGGAAATGAAAACCCCTGTTTTCTCTCCCTGTCCCCTTCCACCAACATACAGTACCTGCTTTAAGGTCCTGGTTTCTGGCCGTGGCACCCAGCCCAGCCTCAACCATTGCAGGGATTTAGGGAGTGAACCAGCAGATGGAAACTGTCTCTCTCTTTCTGCCTCTCAAATATTTGAAAAAAGGAACGAAACAAAACAGCCACAGAGGTCAGCCTTCTGAACCACAGTGCTAGTTAGAAAATGATGAGGTGATCTGGAAAGGCAAACAGCAAACACAACACATCTCTGCTTTTTTTCACAATATATAATGTCCTTCACACTGTACCTGGTATCAGAGGTAGATTCAATAGTAGTTACTGTTTTTGTTTGTGGGAACAATAATTATGGAGAAAAATTTTAAGGCTTTTCTAGTAAACAAATTTCCAGTTTTACCTGGATTATACTTCCAATGGTGGAATATTTTTCCTTTGCCATTCCCTAAAGGAAATGTATGTGTGTGTGCATGTGTGTGTGTGTGTTTGTCTGTTTTACTTATTTATTTTAGGTGGTAAAAAATAAGATTAAATATACTGTTGTAAACTTTTTTATTATTTATTTATTTGAAAGTTAGAGTTACACAGAGAGAGAGAGACAGAGACAGAGACAGAGACAGAGACAGGTCTTCCTTCCTCTGGTTCACTCCCCAATTGGCCACAATGGCACAGCTGCGCCTATCTGAAGCCAGGAGCCAGGAGCTTCCTCTGGTCTCCCATGCAGGTGCAGGGGCCCAAGGATGTAGGCCATCTTCTTCTACTGCTTTCCCAGGCCATAGCAGAGAGCTGGATTGGAAGTGGAGCAGCCAAGTCTTGAACCATATGGGATGCAGGTGCTTCAGGCCAGGGCGTTAAACCACTGCACCACAGCACCAGCCCCTACTATAAACATTTTTAAGCATAAAGCTCAGTAAAGGTAAGAATATACACATTGTAGTAACCTAATATGTTAAATATTTATGAGGCAGACATCTTTGGAAAATATCTTTTACACTAGGGAATTAATAGTGCCTCAGGATTTTCTTTTGGGGGACGTCGAAGCTTCCTTTTTCTAATTCTAACCTAATTCCCCTAACAAATAACTCTCCTGAGGTTAGATCAAACCTATTAGATGACAGATGATTCTTACAGAAACATGCTTTTCCCCGTGCTGGGAGAGGTTAGCAGGGTAGGACTTGTATCATTTATCATCCATATATGAGTTCAGACAATAAAATTCTTGTTCTTCATTTTCAAAAATAATAACCCAAATCAGTAGAAACATTAAAATCATTTTTAAGTTCTTAATTATATTTGTTAGATTTTTTTATTAATTGATAAATGAATTAATGTTTTAGAAAGATTTTCAAAGATTTTTCTGGCTTGCCTTTATTCAAACAAAAAGTTTAGTTTATATATAGTACATTTCTGATATCCCAGAACTTCAGTAAATTACCAAGGTATAGACTTTCCATAAGTTTCAGTCATAATATCATATGGCCTAGTTTTTTTAATTAACTCACGTTCTATATATTAAGACACTTCACATTATTAGAGTAATTGTGGCAAATGTCAGGGGCATTTCTTCAAAAAGGGTAACAGCACACCAGGAAAACACATCTAATAGTCATTATCTTCAAGTACATGTAAAGCCAGCTTCACTCAAGTTAAAGTCTCTTTGGTATGAGTGCATGTGTTTGTCAGTAGCTTTTATTACATTGACCCAAAATGAGTAACTCTTAAAGACTTTTATGGTTGTTTCTAAAGATGTTCTGTCCCCTGCAGACTTTTCCTTTGCAACAGCCAAGTAAATCAACTGTTTCTTTCATGTTTGCTTTTCCAGCCAACTCAAACGGTAATGCCAGGGCAAGTCATGCGAGTTACAACAGGTGCTCCAATCCCCTGCGGTGCTGATGCAGTAGTACAAGTGGAAGATACGGAACTTATCAGGGAATCAGATGATGTACGTCATTACCAGGTCTAATGGTGCCATTGTTCCTGTGGCAGTATTATAACTCATTCCCATTCTGTGTAATGTTAATGAAATTAATCCATTGTTTTTGATTATGTTGAGATCTTTCAGTGCAAGGCAATAAATAAAAATTTGCCTTAGGCTTGAAAATGTTTTGTTATAGGTGGAGTTTTTATGATCATTGCTGTCATGATTGCAGAATTTGAGCCATGTTTGACCCAAGAAGTTTTACATGCAAACAAGGAAGAAAAGTCCTGTAAAACAGAAGACAGATATTAATTGTTGATATAACTAGTAGCTAAGAAATTTGTCACTAAGAAGAACTTCTAATAATGTAAAGGAATTTATGATATCAGAATTTAATAGAGAATAATTTAACAGAGAACACAGGATAGTTCTTGAATATTAGACTAAACCAAACATGTGAATCAAATGACCCTTTCACTTCTGTGTTGCTGCGATTCAGGGAAAACCTGTGCTACCAAATGACAGCCTGGAAATATTACACATGTGGCTTTTGACTTCCATTCCCTCAAATAAAGAACTCTAGGATCTAAGGTTCTAAGTAGTTTTTATCTCACTGAAACTAGTGACAATCATTGAAACCCAAGTATCAGCCACTAATAAAAGTTATAGGTTCAACTGAGGTTTTAATGGATGGCTGTCTTGTTTTGTGAAGAACTTTAAAAATGTTTATTTTAAAAGTTGAGGTTAAAAGTAAATATATTAACCTGGATGTAGATAACGCAAATCTGCCAGGCTGAGAAACAGCTGCATTTTTTGATCTGGAGGTTTTCTTTTTAATCACCTTCCCACATGTAGAGCTTATAAAATTTAATGCATGGCATACAGATCATGTTGCCTGCTATTAAAACTGTCCAAGCAGATTTACTGGCATCAGGAAAGCCAGAAATACAGAACACATGGATCCACAAACTCTGCCAGATGACAAGACACAGTTCCAGTGTCATAATATTATTCACAGCCCATAAATACAAAACTGATGATCACCATTAATTTACAGAAGTATACTACCAGGCAAACTATAAGTTGTTCATAAAAATTTTTCAGGAATTTGGGGACTGTGCCATGGTATTGAACCCATGATTCATGAGGACAGAAGAGAAGAGATTACCACCATACATATTCATTTGGTTTGAATGGATGAATGGATAGATAGATTCCTTGAGAATGCTACCAATAAAATAAATCAATATTTGAATGGGTCCATTTTTAAGAAGAATAAAAATTAGAGAAAATATTTATTTATGTATTCATTGTCATCAAATATTTTTTAGGATCCTATGTTAGAAATTCATAGTATTTCCAAAAGGTTTAGCAAATGGTTTTTTGTTTCTCTACATTTTTATATGTTCTGGGCCTTTCTGATTAGATAAATTCTACTAATCAGAAATCCTGTAAGGTTGTTATGTTTGAAATTACATGACTTGCTATTATTATAGGGCACTGAGGAACTTGAAGTACGAATTCTGGTGCAAGCTCGGCCAGGCCAAGATATCAGGTGAGTTCATAACATATATAATGTACAGCCAACTTTTGTTTCTACATAGTCATGAACTAAGGAGACATTAGCTATTATAAATCTATAGCTATCAGTCAACCCTTAGCTTATAGGGATTTGACAAGAAAGAAAATGAATTTTCTAAATTCTGAATCCCAGTTCTGCCCTGCCTACTTTTTAATGACAATCATAAAGACAAGTGAAATAGTTTAAAATATCATAGAAGGAGGAAAAATGATAAGCCTATGTAATCTATGGTTAATTGTAACCTTGGATAATCCAGAATTATACAACTCCACCCCTAGGTTAACTAGAATTTGGTATTAACACAAATAATCTCAAAATTGGGTAGGTATGTAATTAGCTGATAGCACATTCTTTGCTGACTACCAACAATAATGGAATAATCTGTTTTTCCTTATACACAAAAATGAGGCTACTGTCCTACCATAAACAGTGTGTATATTTTGTTTTTCTTATGATAGACTATTACATCCCCTCATAATTAAGCTACACTTCTCCCACCCTATAGCAGCAGGCCAAGGTGAGTATACATCTGTGGCCATAGAGCAACACCAACTTAAGTAATCCAAACTGAAATTACTTCTATGACTATAACCTAATTAGTACTGTTCCTCTTGCCAGAAAGCTAACCAGTTAAAGACTTCATTTAGTGCTACTAAATATTTTTATACAAACTCTGGCCTCATATCAAAGTTTGCAGTTGGGGTATATGGATGTATGTGTGTGTGCGTGTGTTTGGGAGACAGACAGACAGAGATACAGAGCTCCCAACCACAGGTCTACTACCCCAAATGCCCACAACAACCCCCAAGTAGGGCTGAAGTGAGAGTTGGGAAACTCAATCCAGGTCCCCTACATGAGTGGCAGGAACCTAATTACTTAAGATATAACTTCTGCCTCCCAGGGTCTGCATTAGCAGAAAGCTAGTGCCAGATAATGAACTCAGGTAATCCAACATGTGATGCAGGTGTGTTAACCAACATCTTAACCACTGGGCTAAATACCTACCTCACAGTTCACTGTAATATAATAAAAGCTATTTGTAAAATAGTTTTCAAATATGAAGTAACATATTCCTGTTTAGCAATAATATACACAAATTCTGCTTCTGTCTTCTCTTGTGTGATTTTGCTTTTAAATTAAAAAATCCATAGAGTTGGGGCAGGCATTTTGACCTAGCAGGTTAAGCCAGTGTTTGGGATGCCCACATCCTATTTCAGGATGTCATTTGAGTCCTGGCTACTCCATTTCCAATTCAGCTTCCTATTAACACATCCTGGGGACAGCAGATAATGGACCGAATGCATGGGCCCCTGACACAGCATGGGAGATCCAGATGGAGTCTCAAGCTCCTGGCATTCACCTGGCCCAGCTCTGGCTGTTGTGGGCCTTTGGGGAGTGAACCAACAGATGACAGGTTTCTCTCTCTCTCCTCTCTCTCCTATTCTCATTCCCTCTCCCTTTCCCTCTCTCTTTCTCTCACTCTCACTCTTGCTCTCTCTGTTGTCCTGCCTTTCAAGTAGAAATAAACATTTTTTAAATGCATAGTTTTTACATTCCCTTCATTTTATTATTTTGTTCTTGCTTCATCTTTTGACTTTTTTCTCCCCTTGAGTGTCTTCCTTCTCTGACACTAAAGTTTCCGTCTGAGTTGAGAAAATATTATTCTTAGTCATACTGCTAATGGTTCTGCTTTGACTTTCAGACCCATCGGCCATGACATTAAAAGAGGGGAATGCGTTTTGGCCAAAGGAACCCACATGGGCCCCTCAGAGATTGGTCTTCTGGCAACTGTAGGTGTCACAGAGGTTGAAGTTAATAAGTTTCCAGTGGTTGCAGTCATGTCTACAGGGAATGAGGTAAAACAAACAAACAAACAAAATGTGGGAGGGAAGGGCTTTCAGAAAAAGGTATTTCTGGCATCTGTTCTGTGTTGAAAATAGAACATGTAGATTATAGATTTTATCAGTTTGTCCACATTGCTGTGACAGAGATATTTCCAATAAGTTGGCCTCAGGATAGTTCAAGTACAGAAGATGAAAAGAACCAGAAATTATATATTAAGAAATGTTCATTTCATTGATTAGAATGAAGTGTTACAACCTTTCTACACACTCAATATGCATAAAACAAAGAATATTAGCTGACAGCTATAGCTATTAAACTGTGTGTATTAGCTTTTCATTACAAGGATACCTGGTGAAGGCTATTTTATTTAAAAAGTGCAGAGTAGCTGCTGGACTTCTTTCTTCTGTTCCTCCTGTCCATTTTGTAAGACTTAGGTGTTCTCTCCTCAAAGAGCCTGCATTTTCTGCACTCCTGTCCCCTTGAACTAGGAGTAGGCCTGTATTCATTCTCTATGGCAGCTGTAACAGGTTACCACAAATTTAGTGCCTTAGAACACAAATTTATTCACTGATATTTCTGGAGGTCAGAGGTCTGAAATGAGTCTGATGGGACTACAATCAAGGTTTTATCTGGGCTAGTTTCTTTTAGAAACCAGGTACAAGATCTAGGGTCCTCAATGATGATGACTTTCCTGATGGTAGAGTCCTGAGGTGGCAGAAAGATGGCACACTGCCAGAGACAGAAACTGCATATATCTGTCTGTATCTGTGGTCTCTGTCCCTCTCCTTATAAAGCAGGGGTGGGGAACCTTTTTTCTGACAAGTATCATTGAAATATTTATAACATCATTCCGTGCCATACAAAATTATCAGCTTAAAAATTAGCCTGCTATGGATTTATTGACTTTCAGGTCCTGCCTGCAGGGCCAAACCAAATGATTTCAAGGGCTTTCTAAGGCCCAAGGGTGGGACATTCCCCACCCTTGTTATAAAGTCACCACAGTTTGGCCGGTGCCACGGCTCAATAGGCTAATCCTCCGCCTGCGGCGCCAGCACACCGGGTTCTAGTCCTGTTGGGGCACCGGATTCTGTCCCGGTTGCCCCTCTTCCAGGCCAGCTCTCTGCTGTGGCCCGGGAGTGCAGTGGAGGATGGCCCAGGTGCTTGGGCCCTGCACCCGCATGGGAGACCAGGAGAAGCACCTGGCTCCTGCCTTCGGATCAGCATGCTGCGCCTTTCTCTCTGTCTCTCTTTCTCACTATCCACTCTGCCTGTCAAAAAATAAAAAATAAAAAAATAAAGTCATCACAGTTCAATCATGGAACTCTGACCCTAATTACCTTATCTAATCCAATCAATTTCCAGATACCCTATCTCTGAACACCATAGACTGAATAAGTTTCCCTATCCTCTTAATCCAATTAACATAAAATCTGGGAGATTGAATTTCTGCATCAATAGGGTTGGGGTGACATCATATTCAAATCATAGCACTATGCAAACTCTGTATTTAGTTTATTAGGACAATGAATTATGCCCTTTGTTCTGCTGAAATGTTGGGCAACCTCTGGGAAATAAATCAATGAATCAAGATACTGTGGCTAGCCCTTCTTGTTAAAAGTCCCATATGATCTTTAATCACCACGAGGGGTTTGACAATCAAGGTTTTGTCCTCTAAAGTTAAAAACCTTTGTAGTAGTATCCTATTCAAAATAGGTCACAATTTCATTGCAGGCATGTTTTTAAAAAGGGAATTTGGTCAGTCCTTGAGAATTGTTAAAAAATCTTGTTTCCTGTTATACTTACGTTATACAAAATTTTTTCTAGATGTTAAAATGCCAAACTGGGAATACAGAAAAATTAATCAGCTGTAAATTTAGAGCCATATAAGCAGAATCAGAAACTATTGAAATTTTTAAGAATAATTCCTTTAGACCTTCCTATTAAAGAAAAGATCACAGAACTTTATTGTTTTCTTCAATCTCTAACTTTCTTTTGAAAAGAAGTCCTTTGTTACCATTATTTTTAATTTATTGAAGTCTTTGACATAGAAAATTTCAAGGGTCTGTCTATGACACTTGGTTTTTTGGGTTTTTTTGTTTTTTTGTTTTTTTTTTTGACTAGGGTAAAAGAGTAGCATATTTTGTTTTGTTCATGAACAGCTAAATTAGCATTCCAGATTTGCTTACTTCTCAGTATAAGTGCATTAGTCATCCCCAAAAACTACTGATTGGCCCAAAACAACATTTCCAACTTGATCTATACATTGATGATTGCAATATCCTTATGATCAACTGATATTCTCCTTAACATCAGAAAGAAAAATCTATTAAACTGATTCCATGAACCATCCTTACTTGTGATTTTACTTATATGCTTTGTGTATCTGATTGAGCTTATGGGTAAGCCAAATAAAATTAGCACATTCATAAATAGCCATTTAATAGGGAACTTTGTGTAAGCCATATTGCTTATATTCTCTCTAATGTTTTTATAGGGTTTGATATTCTGTTATTCCCTAAAGTATATTCATAGTATTTTTAAGCTACCTTTTACACTATTGAAACCATTCACTGGCAATAGGGAAAGGTGATGGGGTAAGAGTAGAGATGGTACTTATATCATGGCATCTAAGAAAGAATTTGGAGTCTTAGTTCCCTGCCAGGCAGTATATTTGAAATTAATGGTAAAAGAATTAAACAAAACATAGTATCTTCCCTGAAGGCTTGAGATCCTCAGATACCTAGAAACCAATAGGAATTTTGAGAATGGGCCAAAAGACCTGTTATCTATTAATGTGGCAAAGGTATAATTAAGCCATTCACAGTTCAAACTCCCCTTAAGTGTTAGTTTTTATGTATCTTGATATGTTTCACATATATCTACTTTGTAAAAATTTTGTATATACTGTTTGAGAAAGAGAGAAGCAGGGAGACTGGGAGGAAGAGGGGTGGGGGAGAGAGAGAGAGAGAGAGAGAGAGAGAGAGAGAGAGAGAGAGAGAAAAGACTCCTACTCTGGTTCATTCTCCTAATGTCCACAACAGCCAGGGCTGGGACAGACCCACACCAGGAGCCAAGAAGAGACTATATCTCCACATATATCTGCCTCTTTTTCCTAGCCTTTCTATTTCCCAGTTTGATTTTCTACTTTTAAATGGTATCATCTCTATTTCATATGAAAACTGTTCATCCTCCTGAAACTTTAAATAGTGACCTCCATGACTTAGACTGGACATCAGTCAACCAACTGCCATTATCTTCAGAAGTCTGCCTTGTATGTTTATTATCTAGTTACTCAAACTACTAGCTATAATTATTTCTTCTCTAGGTGCTGGAATCTCTGCTAGTCTTGAAGATATTGTTTCAGGCACCTTTAGCCATGTTCTGTCACTCATATACACCCATTCATATATCCTGTATCTTCTATATCTTTGTTTTCTCTCTAATGGTTTCTCCTTGTACATCCAAATTTACAAAAATTACCAGTAGAATAAGAAAAGCTATACCTAAACACCCTGTTATCTCCTTGAGTTGCTACATTATTCCCCTCTTAGTCACTATTAAATTTGTTGAAAGAGAGATCTGTACCTGTTGCCTTTCCTTGCTCACTATCCACTTTCCCTTAAAACTCCCCACTCTAATTAGTGCTTCATTACTACACAAACTGCTTTCTGACATTTATTAATAACCTTCCAATCTCCACATCCCCCTTTGACGTTCATCCTCCTTAACCTGTACCAGTCAACAGCAATGACATGCCTCACCTACAACCTTAAAACAGTCTCTCCTTGTCTTCTGTGACTATTCTATTACTTCTTTTCCCTTCTTTTGTTCCTTACCTTTCTCTTTCTCCTGTAGCCTATGTGGAATATCCCTCAAGATTTTGCCCTCTGCTCTGTCTTCAACACTTTCTAATCTCTCCCTTAGAGTTTTCTTCTCATGTCAAATATATAAAGTTGGTTTCTATATCTGTAGCCCTGACCTTGACCTGTTTTGTAAGATCAAACCTTCATTTGCATCTTTTTTGCAGGCTTCCACATAATATTCCACTACCTAATCTCCTTCACCATCTTTCCCTTACTGCCACCCAAACTATACCTTTTTCCTGACTTGCGTCTTTTTATAATGGCATTAGTATTCTCTGAAACTATTTTTACCAAGATCATCAATGACTTTTTTTGTTAAATTTTTATAATTGTGGTAAAATACATATGACATAAAATTTATCATCTTAACTATTTTAAATTTATTTTTATTTATTTCCACTTTATTTGAAAGGCAGATACAGACAAATAGAGATACATACATGGAAAGATCTTCCATCTTCTGTTTCACTCCCCAAATGCCTGCAACAACCAGGCCTGGCCCAACCCAAAACCAGGAACGTGATACTCAGTCCAGGTTTCTGATAAGAATGGCAGGGACCCAAGTTACTCCAATGGTGTGTATTAGCAGGAAACTGGATTGGAAGTACAGAAGCCAGGATTCAAACCAGGCACTCCTGTACAGAATGTGGGCATCTCAAGTGGCAGTTTAACTGCTGCACCAAATGCTTGCATGGATTTTAACTGTTTCTGAATTGACATTCAGTTAAGTTAAGTTCAGTGGTGTTGAATATACATTGTGCAGTTAATCTTCAGAACTCTTAACCTTGCAAAACTGAAACTCTGTATTTGTTAAACAACTCTTCCATTCTCCCTTCCCACCACCTTCTGGAAACCACATTCTATTTTCTGTCACTATGAATTTGACTACTCCAGGTACCTCATATAATATAACCATAAAGTATTTATATTTTTGTAATTGGTTTATTTCACTTAACAAAATATCCTCAAGGTTGATCTGTGTTGCAGGTTGTTTCAGAATTTTCTCTTTCTAAGGCTGAATAATATTCCATTGTATGTATGTATGTGTGGAAATTACATATTGGAGATCACACTTTGTGTATCCATTCACCTATTGAGGGATATTTGAGTTGCTTCTGCCTTTTGGCTATTGTGAGTAGTAATGCTAT